TTATTTAAAAAGAGGACGTTTTGCCTGATAGGAGTAGAATCATGCCTGTGGGATTCATATACACTTTACCCCTCAATATAACATTAACATGTTCTCAACAAGATAACGGCTCTGTGTTTGTTTTCAGACGTCATATAAAAATAATATTTGCTCTGATTGTTGCATGTCGCTAAAAGTTATGTCTGCTGGAACCAAAAATACACCTTTCTGAGTGCATCAATTAAAACAATTGTCTATTTTATTGTTGTAAAACACATGTAGCTGAAACACTAGCCTTCTGTTTGTTCATGGACAGGGGGTCAGATTGTGGCAGGGTCAGCCTGATATTATTTGTATTCCCTGTAACTTTAAAATTTTTGACCCCCTTAGAGGCGACTTTTTATTAAAATACTTTAATAATTTTACAACGCAGCGCGCCCCTGTCTCACCCATCAGTCTCTTTCTATGTTTCTGGTATGACGGCAATTATTCCAATAAGCCGTCATTTATGTAATTACACTTTGGATCTGACTGTAAAAATGAATGTATAGGTCTTCACAATCCAAAGCAGAAATAATAATGAGAAAAGGAGAATTATTCCCTTTTCATAATTATAAGACCCAGCACAAGTGTCCCATGGGGCCCATCCAGGTTACGTGACTTAAGTAAAGCCTTACCGTGTCCATTATGCCCTTTCTGTTTTTTCTTCCTCTGAGAGCAGCCACGAGGTAACGGCAAGATATGGGCGAATGGATGGAACTGCTACTTTCGTTTGTGTTTTTATGGCCAACTGCCGCGATAAGTCATGCCACGCTATTTTTCCGCGATAACCGGGTGTTTTTGCTAATATCTGCGCTCCTGCTGACCAGAGAAGCTGACGGTATGTCGAAAGTTTTCTTTTTTTTGTTGTTTATGCTTGGATTTGCTTGGGCTGAAATGAGATAAAATGGCAGGTGTTAACTAATTGTTGTCAAAATCTGACAGGGAAGAATGTGGGGATTTTGAAGTGGATGACTGAAATTATGTTTTTGTATTATTTTAGTGTTGTCCAAATCAGTGTTTATTTATTTATTTATTTATTTATTTATTTATTTATTTATTTATTATTATTATTATTATTATTATTATTATTATTATTATTATTATTATTATAAGGAGACATACTCAGAAGATGCTCAGGACCTGTGACCTTAAAGCTTTAAAAAATTGTGTATTTTATTATCTTTACCCAGTAGCGGTTTTTGATACGGGCAACACGGGCGGTTGCCCGGGTCGGCATCGTGATGGGGGGCGGCATCACGGGAAAAAAATAAAAATAAAAAATTACTCGTACTCATGCTGCTCCGACATCATGCCAGCGCATATTGGGAATGGCATAGGCACCGATCGGTTTTCTATCGCCCATTTGCTGGGGGTAAGAGCGCCCTCCGTTTGCGAGGTGTTAATGCTGCTTGCGGCCGGGGCGGCGGGGGATTCTCTGGCTGGCTGGAGCAGCATCTAA